AGGTCCACAGGGACCTTCGGGACCATGACACGCGTCCCCGTTGCTAGGCAAACAGTGAAGATGTCACCAAACCGCGTTTTCGGCGCCTCAGCATACAGCTGACTTCCTTCCATCGTGGAGTGTCGAGCATAACTGCCCGACGTACCAGAATCTATGAGAGGCAAAGGTCACCGTCCTTACCTTCTATACTGCAACCAGTACAAGTGTAGCGGATCACAACCCGCTACCTCCAAGAGTACCCAAAACCATAATCCGAGGCAAACACACTCTTCCGCTCAAGATTGAAACTGTATTTTTTTGCTTGATTTACGGCAGAGCCGCCTGTATCTAAATCTATAAGTTGTCCTGATTAAAAAGTAAAACCTAATTTAATTGCCTAACGACTGACAGTCCCATCACGTAGTGGCTTCTTGTTAAGATAGAGCCACACCATTATTTGGTCACACCATCTTGTGAGACGGTACGTGTGACTTCGTTACACATTCCTTTTAACGGGGTTACACATACCCTGGTAACAGGGGTGTGTGTCACACCAGATGGGCATGGTGTGACCACACCCAAATGAGAATACGGTACGTGGCTGGATAGCCAGTAGTTATACATGTATTTAAGTTTTACTATACATATTTAGGAAAATCTAGGCATTTAAAATTAGGCGGCTTTGCCGCAGATAAAAATAAATACAGTCAGTTTTTGAATTTAAACGAAAGAATTAATACGCCTTGGGTTAAGGCTATAGTTACTCGTGGAGTAAGCGGATTGCGATCCGCTAAACTCGTACTTGTTCTAAGTATAGACGATAGGTCGGTGACCTAACTTACGCTTCTTCAAAGCGCAAAGCTACGGCAGCCCCGCTGCACTTGGTAGCACTTGGAGTCAATCTACACCTGAGTCCTTTAAACTGATCATCGGTCAGGATGGAAGAATTTTCTTTTTGCCCCAGGGCATGCAGGACGGGCTTAACAAGCTGATGTCCTTGCTTGGCCCTGAAGGCGTGAAACACCTTGCGGCGCAAGGACTCGAGGCAATCGGACACGTCTAGAGGCGTTTTCAAATTACGAAAACTCGCTGCCAGAGCACCTGCAGCAGAAGATGTCTGCATCGTTTGCGTCTATGACGCCACGGTCAGTGACGGAAGACATCCCCCGACTTAAGCCGCTCATGGTGAGCGTCAATGTATTTGAGGGGAAGGATGGAAAGAGTCTCCTGCTCTGGGTGAGAT